AAAAGGATATAGGGAGAGGGGAAGCACCTTCAACCCCAAGAAATTAGCAGTTCCAGCAAGATATAAATTAGCCGTTTCAGCTCTTCTTTTTGAGCTTATTGACCAGGGTTAGGAAGACTTGGAGGGACAGCTCACATGGCTAGATTGCATCTACAGAAAGATGGAAAGAATTGAGTTTACTTAAGATAATTATAATTTTCATTAAGGGCATATAGTTAACTAGTCTGGACAAACAGTACTTAGAGACCTTGTCAAGGAGTTTTTTTTTTCCTATTTTGATAAGTAACACTAAGATTTCATTGGAACAAATCACCTAATTGCCTACCAAAGTGGGCAGCAGGCTAAATGACTAAAATGCCAGCTCCTATAAATGGAGAGCCCGAAACAAACAACTATTAAGCTGTTACAAGTTGCTGCCTGGCCCTGGACACCCCCACTCAGGCCACTCCAGCTGCTCCCTTACAACTCCTGTCCTTGCTAATGAATCCGCCCCAGCATTCAAACTTCTTTTTTTTTGTGATTAGTAGCATTTGAACTTCTAGGCACCCATTTGAATAAGCATATTCAAGCTGCTAATGAATTCATCAAGGAGCATGTTTGATCCTATACACTTTTTATTCAACACCTGTTAAGGGATTAGAGTTTTAGGAACCATAGAAGCTAAACTTTCATTATAGGATGGAAGAAATATGTAGCAGCATACAAGAAGAGCTACAGAAACCAAAGACCAAAACGAATAACAGATTTGTGGTTTTCAGTGATAACAATGACTCTTCGGGGGGGGGATGACATTTTGCTAATTCTTCCATGATACTTACACCCATCAAATACCTCATAACTTCTCTGGAAATATGACCACAGAGGAGAAAAATGACTACATTATACAAACGCTGATGAAAATGCATACAACTTAATAATATAAGGGGGTGTTCGACAACATGGTTGGTTTTGTTTTTGAAAACAAAAACAACAGCCACATCAGCAAAATTATATTGTTTTTTTTCTGGTTTGGCAGTTGTTTTTGTTTTTAAAAACAAAACGACCATATTCTCAAACACCCCCTAAATGCACTGAATTGTTTATTACAACAAATATAAAACCAAATAAAATTGAAAAATACACACCTAGTTTTAATCCCAGACCAGTGGGAAGTGGGGACAAAACAGGACCAAAAGGAACAGCATAGTACACAACAGTGTCCATAAAAATCAGTTCAGGATTGGTTTGTACTCAAAAAACAAACTGAAAAAGGTAATTTAATAAAACACAATTATAGTTCAAAAAAATTAAAGTATTTGGGTTTCAAAATTTATCAATTGCTTATAAGAAACATGTAGGGCAGTAGTAATCAGAACTTTACCTTCACTTGGGATATGTCTGGTATATCTGGAGTTTGCACAGGATAGAACTTGTAAAACCGCATGTTCTCAAATGCAGCTTTAGTCTCCTCACTCATTTCTTCTAGGGCTTTCCTCTGAGTTTCCCTTGCCTAAACGAAAAAAAAATTTGAAAAATAATGCTCAGTTCAAATATACACAGCATTTAAACCTTCAATCAGAAAAGAAAAATGAGATTGAGCTACATATATTTAATAAATACCTCTCTGTTAGTTTTCTTTGCTTCTCTGACCTTCTCCTTAACAAATTCCTGAGAAGACGAAAAGATGTATCAAGTTGGTCATAGAAGAGAATGTGCTAAGTATTCACGTTCATCATTCACTAAATATACCTTGAAGGCATCCTTCTGATCTTCAGATAATTCCTCCTCCTTAATTAGGTTGTCAGTATACTCCTGCAGATTGCATAAACAACAATTAAGAGAAGGATTAGGTAAACATGATATGATAATGGTTGCTACATAACCATTATTATTTATTACACCTTGCACCTTACTAAGTAATCAATCAGAAAACATCTCGGTTCTTGAAAACCCCTAATGATTTCATTTTTATTATTTTTTTGATTGGTATTGAGACATTAAGGCATATTAGCCCCTTAAGATTTCATCAAAAGAAACAATATATAAATGGCAATGATCTGAGAGAGATGAAGGGTAAACCCACAATCCAGAGACCCATGAAATCTCCAAATCATTTAGCTATACCCATATTATGAAAATCAATTCTTTTGGATGCTGAGAAATTTATGAAGATTGCTTGGAATTAATTCTAACAATCTAGATGATTTGTAAGAACTTGTCTATAACCTTTTGTTTTTAACCAAGTTTAACTGTGTTATACTAGAAGGCAGGCAAACAGAAAAGAGACCCAATCTGTACCTCAAGCTCATCAAGCTCCCAATCGAACTGGCATACAACCTGCAGGTGAAAATGAGCAGAACCAGCCATCAGTTACTTGTTTTATACAAAGCTTCTGGAAGACACCTTACTCAAGTCCTTTGGATGGAATTCACAGATGGTTAAAAAACACAGTAAAGGATTGCCAAAAAAAGAACATATGTAAAAGGACATGGGGAAGTCAAAAAAAAAAGAAAAAGAAAAAGTGGAAGGAAAAGTGCAGAAGCTCAGAAAATAACATATCATGCAGACAGTGTATGCTTACTGGTTTTGGTTCCACTGGGAAAATAATATTAACTTCAGTGCTTTGCTCAAATTCATCTTCCTTCAGGGGGTGGTAGAAATCTGCAAAAGAGCAGAACATTACATATAAGGATTCAGGAATTTATTGAAATAATCAGTACCAGATTCAGGAATTGGTATGTGTACTTTTTGTAATTTTCAATTTCAGATGCAGCAGAAGTAGGACAAATTTATGGAAGAATAAATTACATCAGGACTCAGGAATTGATATTTCTACAATACCCACACAATTACTTTTCATTATTGGAAAATGCCAAATATCTCAAAGAAAAATCGCTGCCCAAGCAAGGCAACATAAGAAAAAAATTGCATCAATAAAATAATTACTTAATTAAAAGCTGTTTAAAGTTAATTCCAAAGTAAGATATAATTTGATAAAGATAATAAGATGCCAAGGAAGTGGTTCACATCTTGATGTTTTGAAGGAAATTCAATTGCATAAGACACAAACAAGAGAAAAAAAGGGGGAAAAAAGATAAAAGTAATGGGGTGCAAATTGTTTTACCCACTCAGAATATATCATATAAAGAAACCATCAACATCATAAAAAAGTCAGACACTATGAATGAAGAACACCAGACAAAGTATAACTGTATTTATTCGTTTATCTACTTTTTTCAGGAAGGAGTGTCAAAAGAATTTCACACAAATAAATTTCAAAGCACAGAAGATTATTACTAACAATAGACTACCATTAGGTGAAGGTTAGGGTAAAGTCAATATGCCAAGACATATCAGGTAGAAGAATTAGAATAACTCACAAGGAAGACAATATTCAAATTTCTTGACAATATTCAAATTTCAGGTGACTTAAAGCAGCCCTGCAGAAAACAGAACAAATAAATACAAAATTCCCACAAAATAAATATGGCAACAAAAGAAAGTTAGAAGACCCATCAGCACCCAAATAACCCTCAAAAGAATGCAGCCAAGCATGTAAAATATTTATGGATGGTTCACTATGTACTAAAAAGTTATCATTCTAAAGAAGCACCGCTCTTGATATGGCAGAATGGTGGAACTTGTTTCATATGGTTGACCCCAAATAGTTAGGTTTAAGGATGAGTTGGATTGAGTTGAGATAATCAATAATAGTTGTTCACTTCTAATACATACATCTTAATCTGACATTTATCCAACACAGACACCTCATCCATTTGGGAGGCTCCATGCAACAACTTAACACTTTATGTACAAACGTATATACACATAAATGCATATAAAAACACTATTTGATTCAGACCTTAATTGGAGCGGATTGGGATGGATCCATATTTAGAATTTCAGAACCACCCTCAGAGGCTCAGACAATTAGCTGTTGTTGAATGCTGAGAGCTTTGATTATTACAGTGTAATCAAGGCATCTAGGTGAGACCTAGGCATTTTGGGTCGTCAAGGTAAGTTGTTGCCCAAGATTATGACTAAGAGTTCCCTATTCAACTCCAACCAAAATTAGAATATCTATATGTTTCTATTTTTAGATTAAAAATAGACCTCTAGAAGGAACATTTAATCAAGTGTCTTGCCTTCATATTCTGCCAAATGATTAATACTCAATAATGAAGTTCTTTAATAGATTCTAACATACAATCCTTTCATACTGAGCATCCAAAAGTCGTGGGAGGCATCTAGATTATTTAATAAAGCTCTTACTTGGGAGCTATTGTTTACAGTTAAGTATACAATGTAATCATATGGCTATAACCAGTCTGCCCACCATCTTCGCAAAGTTTAATGGAACTATTTGGAGAGTTACCAGAACAAACTCCACAACCATGTTTAAACTGCTTTATTTATAATTTGTAATGCAGTAATGCAGTAATGCTAACAGAAGACAAAAAAAGAGGTCTGATTTGGTTGCTTTAACAAAACTTTGGCTGATGAATGAAGTCTCAAATTAATGTAGTTCCTAGTCAACATGGTTGTCCATGAACTCAGATAATTGTACACCATATAAGTTAAGAAGACTAAAAAGTTACAAAAAAGAGGATCTTAGCAAATAATTCACTATCAAGAAAATTCTTTTTAAGGAATGAAACCATTTTAGCTCATTTTTTATATACTATCATATTAGCAGCATTCTAGTGCAAATCACTAAACATAGTCCATCCTTTTCCTTTTCTAGACATCTCACAAAGAAACCTATAAGTTTCCACATGGAACTATTGGAAGGAAAATGGCAAAAGATTTCATGAGCAGAGTTTCGTGTTCTATCAGAAGATGATATCCATGTAGTAGGGAAGAAAAGAGATATTGATGGAATTATTGGTCACTAGCATCAACAAATAAAACGGTGGGTTCAGAATTATTCTGTACAAGCAGATAAAGTGCAGACAAAACTTCAAAGAAATTCAATATCCATAACCATGTAAGAATATCACTGCACTGAATGTAGTTAGCCAACTGTTAGCAAATTAACACAAGTATCAAGCTTAAACAGCAAATTCCAGGGCATATTAACATCATGAAATATGTCATAAAGCTACAGGACATCAAATTCAAGTTTAGCTAGATGATATGCTGATATTTGACACTGGCTTGGATATGCCACAGTGAACTTCACAAGTTAGAGATTTTGTTGAAAAGACTACAAGTACATACAGAAACAAAATTAGGGGAAAAAAGTAACCATATTTAGTGGCAAAATAAGATAGCATGCCAACAAGTATAGATTAAATTAATCCTAGTGGATTATTCACAACCATATTGTTTCGTTTTGTTGAAATTTTCAACCATCATGATCTACAGTATAGCAGCTTAGCAAGTGACATAAAATACATTACTTAGCAAATATAGCATGAGAAAATTTAAACAACAAAAAAAGCATCAGCACCTTCTCTGGGTGCAGCTTAAAATAAAAATCTGAGAATTCAATCTGTCTACTTGACTATCCCTGCAAAATAGCACAAGAGAAACTACATAATGACATTATCATTCAAAAAGGTAAAACCCCCTCCATAAGAAACAATAATCTAGGAAGGCACCAACTAATGAAGAGAACAAACCTATTCTCTAAAGGGATATATGGAACCCAATCCATTTTCATTTTCTTCATTGGCACTATTTCCTCAGCTTCTCTTTGGACTGAATATGCCAATCTTATCAGAAGGTGGGAATGGAGATACAACCTGTTTAACAATGGGGGAGGGATAAAACAAGAAGAGAATTACCTATAAATTACTAATGCAACAAATTATACCATATCATAATATACTAAAGAAGAACCAATCCAGGCAATCAAGGATAAGCAAGCATGCAGATAAGTGTCCAGGTCACAAGATGGTAGAGAATATGAACCTATTCAAGGACCTCACCTAACAGCTTAAACTTTTAGATTGAATGGTTCTTCAAGATGGTATCAGAGCCACTTTGACCAAGTGGTCTAGTGTTCAATCCTTATTACCCCCATTATAATTAATTAAGTTTCAGCATAAAGTATGGGTGGGCCTGTGCTTGTTCACACTTCAAGCCCAATGGGCCCTCATGTGAGAGGGCGTGTTAGAGAATATCAACCTATTCAAGGACCTCACCTAACAGCTTAAGCTTTTAGGTTGAATGGTTCTTTAAGAGTTAACACCTCATATAGTTGGGATAAGGATAGGATGATGATGATAAAATTATGGTTTTAACCACTACTACATTCACAACCGGACATATATGGACATAGATACAAAATGAATAAGCATTGCATAGCATACATTTATACCATAAATATGCACATACTATCATGTGATTTGGGGAGTCGATAATAGCAATTTACATGTTGCCAATGTGAAAAAGTAGTTCAGGAAGGAGAAAGAGAAACTTTCCCTTGAAACAGTAAACTTCTATTGAAAACTTCTCAAAAAACAAAAAAAAGATACAAATCGAATAAACACATAGAACACAAAAATCATTCTTAGAATAAATACAAGTTTTAATTTCTACCATTATGGTGGTAAGTATATTCCTATCTAGTGAACTTGTATAAATGTTCCAATGCTCGGTTTTCAAGTTAAATATTGGTAATAAGCATATAATCCCAAGTAGTAAATTCTAACAATAAAGGAAAAAATAATTAGGTAGTTTCATCCATAAGGTCAACATGCAGCAAACCTTGATTGCCCAAATAAAGAGATATAGATAAAAAAGGCCATTACCCAATGTTGGTCCCAGCTATCTGGGGTCTTGGGAGTGGCGGACTGGATACGGTCCTAACCTTTGGCATTATTTCGCACAAAGTGGCTGCATTCAGACTCTTTGACAGCTCCAAGTTTTACCGTTACACCAAGTAATGGCCCCTAGATAAGGGGATGTAGGTGTAGGTCTAAAATAGGAGCCAAGAGAAAAGCATCCAGTCATGCCATCAAAAGATCTCCATATCCATAATGACTCGGTTCAATTGCATCCAAATGAAGCCAAAGTCATTTTAAAAGTATTGGCTTTTATCATCCGGGGGGGAAGTAATATTGTCAACGAAAAAGCTGGAGATCAGGGCTTCAGTAGAACCTATCATGCAATTCAAGACCATTTAGATTAACTTAAGCCTAAAACAGAGATGAAAAGCTAAAAGTCTTAAACCGATATGAAAACAACAATAGGTAAGTAAACTTACTGCCACAACAACAGGAATACAGATTAACTTTTCTTCACCCTTGAAGAAGACCATTTGAGCTGGGGAAGAAAGAAAATATAAGCAACATAAATTAAGAAAAGAAATATAAAAAGAGCTATACCAATTATTTTAGATTTGAAGTTTTGAAAGTGGATAAAAATGCATCTTTTTCCAAAGAAATTAACTTGAAGCAAACATGAGAAAAAAAATGAAAGAAAAAAAAATGGCCAATGAAGTTAAAGAGCTGCACGTCAAGTGCCAAAAACTGGAGGCAAAGCATAAATCAAATGCAACATTATAGATGCCACCCAATGTTAGTTATCTTTGATGAAGTAAACACAAACTCTAAGAAGAATAACTAAAGGACTAAGTTCTCTAAACTACTTACGTTCTGTAGCTCCAAAAAGGTAGACTTTCTTCCCATAAAGTTCCTCACCTTCTTCAAATGCATTCTGATCACAAAACGAGTGATTATTATTAATGTATTCTGTGGTCTTTTCCCCTTTGGGTATGCAAGGAGCATGAGATATATACCATTACTTGCCATCCACACAATTACTCAGGCAACAAAAGGAATACAATGTTGGATTCATATCATCAAAAAATGCTTACAGAGTAGATGGGATAACTCACTTCTAAATTTGAAAACTCCCATTTGTACTGATAAAGCAATTCCAATTGATCCCACTGCAATTAATACATCATTATTTCTTAGAAGCTAGAAAGACACAGGAGAACAGTGTGAATTTCCAAATTTCTGCTTATGTTCTAAAATTTAGTTCAAGCAATTGATGATTACGTATAGACATTATAAAATAATGGAATTGAATAAATAAATAAAATAGGAAATCTCACGTCAAACCTCTGTACCAACTGGGAATGCAGCCTGCCATAAATCTTCCTACAAAAGAGAGGCCGGAAATTGGATCAGAATAACAGAAAATCCATGTCAACGACGGGACCATTTTCCTTTTTTACTGAATTGATTACTTCCATCAATATTACTTGAAAGTCTTACGACTTAATGTGCTATAATTTTGAAGAAGAAAAGTTTCTAGCTCAATAAAAATATATAGAAAACAGAGTTAAATAAAGAAAAAATTGAAAGGAGACTGTATTTGAATCCTTATTTGGACTCCACGGAAAAAGAACCAAACAATCGAAGTCAACAATGAAAAAACTCAACTCAAGCTCCGCGTTCCCCATAAGACTTCAAAACCAATATATTAACATAGAAAAGAGCGTAATCATCCGCAAATTAGAAAAACAAAGCTACAAAACAAATCCCTAACGCACACAAATGAAATCAGACCAAATAAATGAACAATGAAAAACACCGAGAGTCGAAAGGCTCGAGGAGCAAGAAGAGTCACCAGATTACGCTTCTCAGGGAAGAATTCAGGCTCTTCTTTAGGTTTTGGAGCAGCAGGAGCTTTAACTCGCTTTCCTCCGCTCGATGCTTTGGTCGATCCTTTTGGAAACTCCTCAGGTGAATTGCTTTCTTCCTTCTTGCTGGCCTTTCTCTTCAAACCTTTCCTCATCGTATAGATTGAGATAGAGACAGGTGAGACAGCAACAGAGAGATGGAAAGAGATAGAACAGACACGGACAGAGAGAGAGAAGAGAAAACGGATTTGCGGCGTGAAGAGAACGTGGTCGGTCCGGAATTGAAGGAAATAGAAGGTAGAGGTTACTGGAAGAGAGCGAGAGAAAGAGAGAGCGGTGAGTGTTGTTATTTATGGTGTCGAGACAAGCTCTGAAATATTTCAAATTGAGCGAGGCGAGGATTCGAAAAAAACAACGTAAGGACTTTGGTTCGGGTCAAGGATTAATCAGGTCCAACCCTAAAAAGTGTAATCTCGGGCTCGGGCCTGGCCCAATACGAGGTCCAAATTTATCAATCCAATCCCAATCCATGCTTAACCAGGCTCAGTCAGGCTTGAGCGGTTTGGTGGTTTGGTTGAGTTTGAAACAAATTATGAATATATTTTTTCGTATTGGTTATGTTTATTGGGCTTTATGGCTCAATTTAGAAATTCATTTACAAGTGAATGACCAATCAAAGCCGCCTGTAAATTTTGATAACTGATTAATTGGTTACAATTTTTTTTTTTTTTGGATATGATGTCTTTTCCAGTATCAGCCGAACCCATATAATATAAATTTATAAAGTGAAAATTTGTATTGGGTTCCATAGGTAGTAATTAAATCCAAATACCTTTTTTAATCCCCTTAAACTTTGCTCCCAGTGGAAGGGGGCCACCATTAAATTTTATTAATGAATGAAAAAAAAAAGGAAACCTAAGAGAGAAAATAAATACAAAATAGATATCAGCTCATACATAGATGTTTAATATCTAGTAAATTAATTAAGGGTCCATTTGTTTTATAGTGGGAATTGGAATTGGAATCACAATTAGAAATTGGAATCAGAATATTCTATTCTTATAATCTGTTTGGTTCAGACGGGAATAGAAATGAGAATGGAAATTAGAATCAACAGCAATGAGAATTTATTCCCAAGGGAGGGGCAGGGAATGACCCTTTTCACTCAAATGGGGGATAGGAGTTTCAATTCTGCCCAACCAAATAATTGGAATTGGAATAGTCCATTTCGATATTTTTGAGAACCAAATGGGACCTAACAAATCTCTATATATATATTAAAGGAAGGCTTTCGGGCCAAAGCCCCCTACAGTCATACACGTAGCCCCCTTATATTCAGACAACTGTCCTTCCAATAAAAGAGACCGCTAAGTTGCAAACTTAGATCCACCACCATGCAACATGATAAGTGGGAAGTTCCCACTCTCAATCCCTTCCTAAAAAAATGGAAATTTGTGATATTGCAATTCATTCCACCAAAATAGAAATTTTTTTCACAAAGAACTGCAACTTTTAAAATCTGCAAGTCACACAACTTTGCAACTCAGAGAACTTTGAGAACTCTTCATTTAGTTCCTGATCTCCCAAGAATGTATGTTTCTTCTTATGTAAGTGTCATAAAACTGATGTTTGAGTGCTTCTTCATGTTCAGATTATTTTGGAACTTTAGAGAAGTCTCTAACGAGAGAACTGTGCAAATCTTCAAGTCAGAGAAATCTGCAAATCAGATTCGTTTGGAACTTCAGAGAACTTGCTAATGACCGAACTGTACATCTCTGAAAGTCTGAGAATCGGGTCAGTATATTGTTTAGAAACCATTGCTGATAAACTGCATCTATTGCTTTCTCCTCTGACAGTAATAGAACCCAAACTGTTAGTTTTTTTTCGGTCCATTACAGTAATAGAACCCAAACTGCATCTATTACTTTTTTCCATTCCAGTAATGGCATGAGCTTTCTCTTCTTTCCATTCCACCATTGCTTACATTTTTTCTCTCCTATGTCTTTTTTTTCATCAGATCAGCTTCTCTTTGTTATTTTCACTCCAATTGCTTTGTTTTCCTGTACCCGCTTTCTCTATGTTATTTTCACTCCAAGAGGTATGTATAGTGTTCTCTTTGCACTGTTTGTTGCAGTATTCCTTCTCATATTCTAAATCTGTGTTTTGAAACTTAATTTAACAGGCAAAAATAGGGATGATTGTTGCGATCCCTTTAGGTAGCTAGGAAGTGGTTGGCTGGAATCTCCAGCTTTAGCTCTCGGTCGTTTTTGGACCGATCACCATCTCCGTTCATTTTTGGTCGGCTGAAATCTCACTCACTGAGTCACTGGGCGCCATTTTAAACTCAAACATAGGTAGGTATTCTCAAACTTTTTTTTGTTCTCAGACTCCCAGTTCTACTGTAGACGTTCTCCCACGTATTCTTGGGAGTGAAATGGATACAAAAACTCACCCCAAGTTTGGTTTTCCTGCCACTGTGTTTAGGTTCACATGGTGCCATTTTTTTTTCATTTTCTCGCTGTTTTTTACAACTTTTACACTCATTCACTATCTACAGTCGCCGAAGACTTTTCCGACATGTTTTTGGCCTGAATGGGACAGAAAGACCGGCTGTAGAACTCACTCCACGGTCGGTTAACCTCGACTGTATCGAATACCACTGTTCATCTATCCGGGTTAAGAAGATGAACTATTCGGATTGGATTATGTGCATTCTGACATAGATCCAACCCATTATTATTAATAAAACTGGTCTACACAGGTTCCGATCGATTATTAAATTGGCACATTTTCAAGCCAATTTCGATATTAAACCAGCCCAGTTTAGACTTCTTGAACTGATGTAGATGACTCTACATAAAATGTTAATTAATAATAATTTAATACTAATTACTTTAATTAATAATTGATCATTAATTATTAATGAATGATATTTAAAACCGATTTACACCGGTTTTATTAAATTTTAATTAATTAATTAATTACATTTATTAGCATTTATTAATTACATTAACAATTAAATAACGTATTTAACTAAGTTAACTAATAATTAATAACTAAATAACTATTAATTACATTACTTAATAAATAATCATCACTTATTAATAATAATAACCAAATTTTTAATATTTATAAGCATTTAAAATAAGTAATGATTATTGAATATTTAGTTTTTATACTTATTTTCAGCAATAATAACATTAATTATTATACTGAATAATTAAATATTATAATACTGAATATTTGTTACAATAAGTCTGAATTTATAATATTACTGAAAATATTATTGTTTTCAGTAATAAAATATTATTACTTAATTTAATAGTTACTCGATGGGGTGGGTTTTTTTGCTTGAAGAACGAGTTTTCGGGCGGGTACAAGTTTTAGGATTCTACAACCCGTACAGGTACGGGTAAGGTACGTATTAGGCTAAACCCGACCTCTCTGACCCACAAATTGTTGGAAAGCATATGAACTTTATGTACCAAGTGTTTGAATTTAATATTATTTTGACTTTTAAGTGAAAGATAATTGATAGTTCATGTGTTTTCTACATGTCTTAATCAAATAATTGAAAATTTTGTTGTTTATTTGTGTTATTTTACTTATTTATTATTTATATGTGACAAGAAATAACAGGAAATTAGATACAGGATCTAAATCCAACCCACCCTATCCTTGAATATGGGGAGGGTTTTGTGTTTTCGTGTGCGGATAGAGTTTGAATTCTGAAAATCCAACCTGCTACGAGTTTTGGGACAATTACGAGTTGGGAGGTTTAAGGAGGTGGGTAAGGTCTAAATTTTACAAAACCCTCCCAAACCCGCCCTATTGTCATCCCTACCCAGGTGGCAGTGGAATTTGATCCCAAATGTCTACTACAATGAATTAGATCCTACCACCACTAGTTGGTGGTTAGCAGTATAGTTGATGGTATCCCATGCACTCACTCACACAGAGATTTCAGCTAGTGCTCTAACACATAAGAGAATCGTGCAATGGCTGTTTGCTTAGTACAAACAAGAAAGATCAAATGAAAGTACAGCACCAAGGACTAAATGTACAAATTTATAAGCATTGTTTCCCATTCCTAAGGGATAATGCCACAACTCTATTCTAAGTGGGTAGGGATGCTTTAAACTTGGATTGTATCAAGGTGACTGTTAAAAGTTTTTTTTATCTAATAGCTAGATAACTCATCATCCGCTCCAGATGTAGTGGTTCTGAATCGCAGAGAATACATAATTGCATTTCAAATTCGTAGGATCATGAAGACTGGCCATCTTGGTACTGTTGATAACCCAATTTCTAAGAGACGAAGCCCTGTCTTGTCCATCCACATAGAGGAAGAAGAAAAAAGCAGCAGTAATTTCCAAGTTTAGATTGAGACTTGGGCTTTATTGCCTTGCAAAGGTCCTTAACCAAGACTTCGGTCATGCATAATCACATACGAAAGCTGGAAGGACAAAATTGGGTTTAAGAAAGGACAGAATGCGGTGATAAGGTTAGTCAATTATGAGAAAACCTATTATTTTTGGCTGAATTTGGTAGAGGTGTAAAATCGAACCAGAGTAAACTTTATACCCCGGATCAATTTTACAAGCATTTGGTAAATATGTAAATTATATGTTATCGTTGAATTACATCGATATCGATGTAATAAATATATTGAAAATTTTGATGTATTTATTACATCGCGCTCTCTCTCTCTTATTTTTCTTCTCCTTCTCTCTCGCTTGCTCACTCGCGCTCTCTCTCTTCTTCTTCTCCTTCTCCTTCTCTCTCGCTCGCTCTCTCTCCTTCTCTCTTCTTCTTCCCCCTTATTTTCTCTTTCCATCACAGCCGCTGCAACCAGTGGCAACAACAGATCTGAACCCACCTCTGAAGGGAGAGCCGGAGAGGACGCAGAAGTTGCAAGTGATCTCTCTCTTCTCCTTCTCTCTTCTTCTTCCTCTTCCTCCCTTTTTTTCTCTTTCCGTCATCTAAACCCACCTCCGAACTGCAATTCATGACTTCCTCCCTCCGGAAGTCTATCAAGTCTTGAAACGCCTCTTCTTAAACCTTTTCACTTCTCTGCAACCCAAAATCTCCATTCTTATTGAAGAGTACGACAACTCCTACAACAACAACATCTACGACTCTGTCCAGCTCTATCTCAGCTCCAAATGATTTTCCGCAGCTCAGGTCCTCAAACTCTCCAAATCCAGGAACTCCAAGAACCTCACCTTCTCCATGGATGCCAACCAGAAGCTCGAGGAGACCTTCGAGGACATCAAAGTCAAGTGGTCCTTCCACTGTGTCGAGAAGAAATCCAGTGGACTGGGTTACGCCAAACCCCAAGAGAATCAATACTTCGAGCTCTCTTTCCA